AAACACAGGACAATCAATACAATCAAAGAAAACGCAGGTCACCACAGATGAACCTGAACGTTGGTTGCTTGGGAATTGATGTGTCACCTGACATCTCGTGAATCTCGTGACCCCGTCGATGCGTGGCCGAATGTCCATCATTCAACGGTACCAACGTACCGTTCGCGCTTCCAGGTGACCCCGGAAGCAGCTGGTATATGTATAAACGGACCCAATCCCACAGCCCGAACTGCCGCTCTATTGGCGAATGGATGAGGATTCTCGAGGTCTTCCCGCTACTCTTCTGGCCTTTTTGTGTACTGACAAACGTCAAAATCAGTAAATTCCCCTTCGGTTCGTGGTTGAGGTTTTCAAACCAAAGCCTTCAATTATATTCAGCCATCCAGTTTCATGACTCCGTCTTTGTGGAACAAGTCCTTGCTCCGTACGATGTACGAAAATGTATGAAGTACCATCATGGTATTCTTGAAGTTTCAGCCACAAGCAGTCTCACCACCTACACCATAGGAAATGTGCGTTGGCATTGGAAAATTCCTCCACAAACTGGACAAAAGTGGAGGTTGGAATCAAGATAAACCACACAAAAAAGGCATGCATTGGATGCAGAAAATTGCAGAACATAATTGGCAATGGCCACAAATGTCATGAGAGGGCAGGCGATGCGCGACTTCTGCCCAAAAAGTCATGCACCCAAACCCGTCATCGTCAGCCGTTCTAGGAAATTTTCGTGGGCCACTGTACAAAACACCAGGAAACACTCCGAACATTAAAAAAACGGACGGCGTAGCGACTCACAGCCGCAGAAGTGTCCGTGTGTGCGCAGGTGCCTTGTGATCCCTCTTCGCCAATTCGATGGTGAAGACCAACAAACCACTGGATGCCTGGAGAATCACATGAATCAGCAGAACGATTGCTTGTCTGTGGATTTGTTTTTAAGAGTTTATTAATTGTTTAGGACCGGAGTTTTTTGGCCGCGCCATCAAAGGCACGAAACGTATATATGGAAAATGGGGAAAACTATGATATATCCGGACAGAACTTCTAGCATATGTGTGAATTTCTGCCGTCAACTTAGTTGAGCCATCTTGAGTGCTGAATAGTGAGACAAAGGGGATACATGGCCAACAACTTCCACCTGGTGAAATGGATCTGATCTGAAGCAGTTGTTCTCTCGCCACCCGTGCCACCTCTCAAATCACATGTTTCGCCTCTGTTTCCAATGTCCACCATGACAAATCGCGGCGGATATCGCCATACCTTGCAAGCCATGCCAGCTGTGATCCAAATTCGATCACGTCGTGCATGACGGGCTGGTTTCAGTAGGCAACTCTATGCAGAATAACCTTTCCAATCTCGAGAAATTCAACCAATGTAGCCGGGTTATGTTCAATGGCGCAAGTACCTGCAAATTGAACAAGCCCGACACTTCTCCCAACACTCCTGAGGTCATTGCAAACTCCCGTTGAGAGGTGCCAGCTGCGGATCCAGATCAGGCCGCTTCAGCGTCTCAACAATGCTCAAAAGAAAGCGGAGACGGAGGAGACGGAGACCAGTGGTGACCAGCAGCCAAAGGACTGCAGGGCTTGCCCTTCAGCCCATGGGGATGGGTATAGTGTCACTTCTCCAGAAGGTATGATTATTGATTTGCTCTTTTCTTGCACTGAACCATATACCTAGCGCTTCCTGTCGGGGTGCCCTGTCTGGAGAGTGGAGATATCCAGCCAGGTGACCCCGAACGGAAGCAGCTGGTCGAAAGGTCGCTTTTTCATGGACTTTAAGAGGAACATGACAGCTCAAACGGTGCACTGGTGGAACTCTTCTATGGTCACAACGCCATGTTTCAGTCAGGTACCATGAAGCCAAGGGACCTGGAACCAAGGGACCTACAGTGCTTTCAGAGTCGACGGCAAACGCCACCCCAAGATGACTTGGACAGATGGGGGTCCATCTGATCCATATTAAACCTTTTGGAGATTGGGCCATCTGCTCTCAACTCACTATAGGTTCCAGACTGTACTTTTAGCTTCCTATTCACATGCTTCTTCTTGCAAAGTTGAAACCATGTTGAAACCCAAGCACCCATCCCCCGATCCCCCTGCCGCGCTTCACCGGCCCCATCTCCGGAACAGCGCCCCCTGTCGGACGGAGCGCCGCTGGAACCGGAAAGGCGCGCCGCGCCGCGGCGCGGTGCGCCTTCACTTTCAACTCCCAGCTGGAGAGCTCCACAGACAGCTCCGACGCACACAGCGCCGATAACTGCAGAAGAGAAGCCGGGAAGAGGGTGAGTGAGGCGGAGGGAAGAGGGAGGGTGGAAGAGGGAAGGTGGATGTCCAATGATGTGAGTTTCAAGAAGGGTGTAGATGTGCAACACATCATGTAACCGAAGAAGTTATCATAGTTTGTATGTGTATAGCAAAGGAAGTTTGGACGTCAAGCAGGCGACTCGCCAGGATTCGCCAGGTTCCATAGTGCCTGTATCGACATGAGGATTCATCAAACCACCTTCCACCTTCCACCATGGGGCGAAGGGTCCGGACGCCACGGACGCCAGGGATCTCGCTGTTCTTGGTAACGCAAGTAAGTAACATCGATCTATAGACAATATGTAGACCCACTTGTAGAGTCTTGAACATCTTGAACCAAAACACAAGAATGCTTTACAGTTTTACAATCAAATGTTTTTGTTGTTTTTGCGTATAGATGCGTATAGTAGTATCGGGTAAACACGATATCTCCCGTTTCCGGTAACAGTGGATGATGGTTAGGTCGGTTGCAGGCCAACACCTTAAACATAACCCAGACGCTCCATGTATGGTATATATGCCTACATTGGGGTGGTTTGGGGGGTCAATGTAGGCATATACGGCATACATGGAGCGTCTGGGTAATGAGAATCATGTCGAGTCAAGAGATACCTGAAATCGCAGGGGCATTGGTACACCACCGCGCCACATCATCTGCATGGAAACAGGAGTGTTTGGAAGTCAACGAGCTCCTCGTCTCGAAAGACATACTTCAGGGAGATGCGACCCATGTTCTGCTCATAGTCGACTCCCCTGCGCAGTCGAAGATCGCTCTGAAACGCCCTGAAACGGTTTTGCGAAGTGATAGGCTGTCAAATAGGCTGTCAAAGGCCATAGGCAGTATTTCCACATCAGAACATTTACAATTGATGTTGTTCACTGCTGCATCAATGACAAGTCTAAACAACACCACATGTCACAAGACACTCACGCAGAAATATCAGAAATCTTCCTTTCGAAACACCTGACCCTTGGCAAATCGTGATTGACACTGTAGGATCTACCCTCAACACCCCGGACATCAGCTTATATCTCGCGCCAGAAATCCGCCAAGTCTTCGAAATCAGCACTCCACCGGTCGCCACCGAAACCATAAACCGCTCACCCCTCCAGCTCGCGCCGTGTGGGCTCGAGTCTTGTCTGGCTCAGCTCAGCTGGGCACCCCGGACTTGCAGCTGCCGCTGCTGGGCTGACACGGAAAGCCCCGGAGCTTGAAGACTTGCCCCTGGCGACGCGGATCGACGGACGGTAGACGGTGCGGACCGACGGTCGAGACAGGCGGAGACAGGAAGGGGACGAGCGCCTTCAGGCCACAGACTCGACCAGATGACTCTTGAGAGAGACCACAAGCCACTTGAATTGTAAAACCATATAAAACCTCAGACCTATATGGGCTGCCCATTGAAGTAGTCAAGTCTGCAGTATGGGGAATATCGAGCAATATCCATAGCAGCTTTCTGAGTGGTCGAGACCAGGTCTTCCCCCTCCGATGGCATCTCCAAGTTTGAAGACCTTCACTTCCGACAGAAACCCATGAGCTGATCACGTTTCTTCGTGACACAGCCCACTTCAAAGACTGAAAATCATGGAAACACAAGTCTTCTGTGTAGATCATGAAAACGATTCAAAAAGGCACCGCCGCTACAGGGGTAGGAGCAGGCAAAGGAGACCAGGAGATAATTCCATGCTTGGTTCCATGCACCAAACACTGTCGCTCGTCTGACACATCATCTCCCAAGTTCAATGAAAGAGCCAGGATTCCAAAATATGGAGCCACACATCTTAAGATTGGCTTGGGAATACAGAATCCTCCTCCTCCTCCTATCTAATCTCAACACATTCAAACCTACAATGACCTATGACCTATCCACATAAGCCGCACCTACTCACTGCATACCCATCTGAGAAAAGAACTTATGTTCAATGATGTGTTAACCAACCTCATTCCAGTCATTGTCTACCATCTTTACCCATAACGTACACCCGAATACTTGCAAAGCTTGTGTTTCTTTTTACGTGCAGGACTGTCCACCGAGAAGGGAGCGCTGCTCGGCGTGTGTTCGCTGCACGCCGAACCATCGGGAAAAATGCCCCGCAGCTCGCAGTTGTCATGTCTCTCTGAATTCTTGTGGACAAATGCTCTCAATGCATCTTTGCCACATACAACTGGTGGAGGGTCAAACTAATTGGTATTTAAACAAAATAAAGAAACTACGAACTCAACAAAAATCAACAAAAATCATGTACGTAGGGACCGATATGTACAAAGAAAAACATGCTCCGGCGCACTCTATGTTCAGACCCGAATTAATCACCACCCCTCACAGAAGAAGGCTCGTCTAAGATGTTCTGCTTAAAGCAAAAGGCTGTCTTCCCACGGCTCTCTCTTTGGCCAGGGATAATCTGCCGCTGGGAGGCTGTTTTCTTCAATCAAGCCAAAAGAGGCAGGTTGTCTTCATGTGTCTTCAATGTGTTGATATTCTCCTGAAGGACACACAGTCCTTTCATATTAAAATAGTTACAGTATTCATACCTACTTGCCATCAGTCTGACACCATGTCAAAAAAACAACTGCCTGTCGTCTCACCGGCCGTCCCAAATGGGGTCTCTTTGGCCCGGCGAACGCTCCGAACGATCCGATGGAAGAGTTCTCCTGCACGAGAACTCTACAACTCCTTGTTGCGTGATTCGGTTTCGGCGTGTTCAATGTTGGGATTCTAGGCTTGCACATGTCATGTGGGTGCAGGATCATTTGCTTCCACTGTACCACTAATCCAGGTGACCAGCGATGCAAACTCTGTACACTGGAAGATGACAAGTGCAAGGGTCACTGCAATCACCAGCATCATGCTCTTCCACCGCATGGGAGGATCAACCTAGCCTTGGCATGGTGCCGATGGGTTACAGCTTGGGAAGGAAATTGTTCAGAGTTGCCCAAAAAGCAAGTCCCAAAGTCGCTAGCCTTACAAAATCACAAAAGCCTCTACATCATACCAACCTCAAAGGATGTGAATGTGGAAACTTGCGGAAAGTATATTCAGGAAGGATGTGAAAAGACCTATACAAAATATGTTCACTCCTGGCTTAGGCACTGATTGTTCCTCACCACTCCAGAGCCAGTTTCTGCAAGTGATCAATGATCAAAGGGGAATTTGGACAATTCCCCTTGTGTTGGTGCGTTAGGACAAAGCAGTCAATTCAATCCAACGTGCTTCCCTCCAAGAATAAAACCGCTCCCTGAAATAGTCACGGAAGTTGGTTGTTCACCACTTGGTGTTCGTCTGTTGGATTTCTTGGCCATCCTTTCGGTTGCCATCCACTTCCCAATGAGTATTTCAGGGAGCTTTTGTTGCCATCCGAATTTCAGGGACTTATAACTGAGGGAGTTGCCAATATCTCGCGTTGGACATCGACCAATCCGCCCCTCTTCATGAGGCCGACCCCATGAACCCTGCAACCAGCCCGAGCTCACATGCATCTCGCACTCCCCCCAGCAGGTGTGCACCGGACCGGAACAAAAAGAAAACACCACATGAACGTCCATTCCTTCGAACGTCCGTGCCGAGTCAGGACGTCTCTGCCTTCCTTCGAGGCGAGCGGCTTTTGCGCCACTCCTATTCCTCCAAAGCCAATTTGCCTTTCGGGGTCGAAGGGAAGCGGGAAGGGAAGCGAGAGAGAGGTTGCCAGTGACAGCGGCCAGGGTTCAGTGACTGATGGTGGTTAAATCTGAGTAATATAAAGAATGATATCTAGTAAAAAACATCGCCAGAACACCTGTTCAGGGTGGGAAGATTGAGACGGACTCCTAGTGGACATGAAAATGGACTGCCTAGATTGAGTAGATGACATGGCCATGACCTCAACGAGCTCGCTGCGTTCAATTGATGCCAAGCACACGTAAGTGATCATGATCTACCCAGACTGGGATGATTTGTGTAAATCCTCGTTGCCCGGACTTACTATATCTTGCCATTTCTGAAACAAACATGATTCGCCCCAGGAAAACAACAAACAAAAACATGAACACAGAAATCAGTAGGTTGTTCAACCAGTTTATGTCAGGTAATCCATGCAAGTCAAGTCATTTTGTTGAAGTGTGTTTCAAGCTACAACGAAGAAAGGCACACAACTACAAGACCCACACTATGATTCACTGCAGCGAACTGAAAACTGCTGTGAGTCCTTGACACCTGTGATCATCAAGAGATACCTCACGCCAATATGTGTTTCTTAAAATTGCTGTTGCTTGCATCGTCCCTGGACCCTAGAAAATGGGACATGACCCCATGAAAACAGGTACTTGTACCACTTTCGGACGTACTTTGTGACTCCAGCTCAGTACGCACTTTGAGTTGAATAAAAGGTGCTGTAAAGACCTGGTCAGTTCGTTCAGGGCTCTTGTTCTACGCGCCGCGTACGCACCCGGCGGTGCCTGCTTGCTCCATTTCCTCTATCAAATCCTGGGCTTTGAGCATTGGCTCGAGGCTCTTCACCAACGGTAGCGCAAAGGACAATCCCAGGGCCAGTGTCTCAAGAAGGGGAACCATACATACCCCATCCCCATTCGGGATATGCACTTAAGTTCGGAGCCATTCCGCAAAAACACTGTTGGTAACGAAGCTTCGATCACCGGTCACGAGGTTCTCGAGGTCCTCGTCCACGAAGGTCGGTCAGCGCGGCCACGCGCTATTTTCAGTGAGCCATTGCTCAAGTCGCGCGCGCACCCGCCACTGAGCTTGAGGCGAGCGCGGCGATCACAGTTCAAATGTCTGATCTACCGGGTTGTGCGGCGCACAAACAACATCGGTGGAGATCATTCAGAAAAAGGAAATTCTAAATTCGCGGCCTCTCACTTCTCACCAGTCTTCACTTGAGGTGGCTACTCCGAACAACGTGCCGTGGGTTCCGCCAACCCAATGAACACCCTCGCCCGATGCTGTCGGGGTGCATTTGTCAAAGAACAAATGGGCACATGCCTTGCAAGGCTGTCGTTCGTAGACCAGGTTCGCGGTCCTCTGAGCAACACAAGCCCTCGATGCATGCCAACAGCCTCCTTGGCTTGCTAGATAGACTGGCTTGAAGGAAGCCTGTTGTCCTGCCACTTTGAACTTCTGGTTGAAATCTGCCTCTTGCATTTCTTTCATCTTGTGGTGCTCTTTTGCCAGCAGTCGTAGTTCTCTTTGTGCGTCCTGTCGTGCCTGTTCCGACACGGCCAACTCTTCTTTCAATCTCTGGTTCTGCTTGGTGATGGTGATGTTCTCCTTGCGTAGCTCTACCAGCCTTTGTTCTTCAAGTCCGGTTCGGGTTGTCTGAGCCTCGTTCTCTTTGAACTTCTTCTCAAGGATCACAATCTTTGGACCTTGTGTCCACTTCCAGAAGAGCCAGGTGAACATGCCGATGAACATGATCGTCAAGATCAGCTAGACATAGTCAATCAGGTCATGTTCCTCCCCCTTGTAGTGGCTCATAGTGCCCGTGAAGTTACCATCTTTCTCTTCAAAAGCGTTCACGGTGTCCAGGAAGTAGTTTGAAAACATTGCAAACAATGCTCTCTCTGGTCGTCTGATGGCATACATGTTCTCACCTTTCTTCCTGTTGGTCACATTCTTCCGTTTGGAAGCCTGGAAGGTCTCATCACTCTTCAGCCTTGTCATGTGCGATCGAAGTCGTTGTCCAAGAAGAGCAGCTGCTGAATCCTTGGTCAGGCCATCAGCGTACTGAAGCTCCGAGGAAACCCACATGACTTTTCCGTTGCAGCATGATAGCTTGTCTCGACACACAAGAGCCTCAATGGTGGTTCTTTTGTCTGCTCCAGTTGCTGCTTGGATCTCATCTTTCACCAGGACATCATATAAGGCCTTGGCATCCACAATGAGCTTGGGACTGTTCTGCAGATGTCCAGTGCTCACGGAATCCAGTGGCATCAATGCCTTGAAGATGAGGTTCCAGAACAAGGAGGTGTACATGAGACTATCTGCGGCTTCACTTGCTGCCTGGGACTCTGCTGAAAGCGTGCTTCTTGACACACGTGGTAGTTTCCAGCTTCTCCAGTCAATCACATTGTAGTGCCCTTCACACTTGCCATTGGCGACGTCCTTGTGGCACATAGCCAGGAGGTATCCACCTTGGCTGCTCAGATCTGATCTTGTTGCGAAGGATGCGTCACTGTAGGCGATGAAGGTCATGTCTTCTTTGGCTCCGAGACATCTGTACTGGAGTCCTACATCGGCATACTCCTTGGCATAGCGCAGGTGCTTGTTGCCTTTCTGAAGTGTTGCCACTGTTGCCTTTGAAGTCTCACCAGCCAGCTGGGAAATTCCGACTTGTAGATGTGGTGAGCTCTGGGTGGCAGGCCACTGCAAACCACCTATCAGTCCACGTAGTAGAGATCGTTCTCGTTCTGTCACGGGAAGGTCAGGACTGTTCACTCGCTCCTTGGCGATGGGTATTGGCTTCACCTTGTGGATGTAGGACTCTTGGCTCAAAGCGAGGACATCTTCGGAAAGACTCTTGATTTGGCTCCCGCAATACTCAAGGTTGTTGCCCTCTTGCCACTCACGGAACGTTAAGACATTCTTTAGCTTCTCTTTGACTTCATGGAAGTACGGGTCTTGCAGATCACCGCAACCAACCAAATCATCAACGTGTATGCCAAAGATGCAGGCCAGTTCTCGCTCCACCATTGGATCTGTCATCTTTTCAGGGTCCAGAGGTCGATAGACCATGAAGAGGCATGGGTCCAGTGGATGTCGCTGGATGTTGCCTTCACCAACTCGAAGGATGCGTTCTGTTGCCTCTTCGTACCATGCACGGGGAGCATCACATAGTCCATACATTGGCTTCACCAATCTCATCAATGTTGGTTCCTCGGGTGACATGCCCAGAAGCTGCTTGGCGTCCCGTGGCAATCGGATCCAGATCACTCGCTTGGATTCCTTGTCAAAATTCTTGCCCTGCAAAAAGGCGGTCGTGATGTCTGAGGTGAACATGTGCCATTTGTAAAGTTGGCAAATGCATAGTACCAAGCCTCTTGCCAGTCTGGTCAAAGTGGGGGCATTGGTGGACAAAGCTCCGGAAAGCGCATCTGGGTCTTTGAATCCTTGTGTGATGAGTCTTGCCTTTGCTCGTGGTGTGCCATCTTCATTCTTCTTCCACGTCAAGATGAAGTGGGCCTTGAGGATTCGTTCAGGGTCTGCATTCTTCTCCTCATCATAGAGCCATACTTCATTCTTAAAGAAGCTCTCCAGCTCTTTGATCTTCGCCTGGATGAAGGCTTGACGGTCGGCCACACTCATGTACCTTTCGAACACCTCGTCCTTGCCCGTCTTCTTCTTGGCAATCTTGTCGGACGGTGTTCTCAGAGTCTTGTACCCGTTACTGGCTTTCTTGTAGTCCTGTTGTGCTTGTTCGCGCCAGTTGGGTTTGATCTTGAACTTGGTTTGTCCTGTCCAGTAGGCCTCCTCGATAAGAGGATTTCGGCTGTGTCTCTTCCATCTGTCCTTGAAGATGCCGTGAGATGTGCTTGACACTCTTTCCTTGACCAGGTAGTTCAGGTCGATGGGGCATTCTTCATCCGATGGACGGTAGGCCTCTTTTCTTGGGATGTAGTGATTTCTAATGAGCCAGTTTCCTTCCATGACCCAATCGTCTTCGGGGCTGTCTAGGCAGAGCCATCCATTTTCCAGGTGCCAACCTGGTGGTAGATCATCGATCTTCTGGACATCCACATCAATCTGCATGTTCATGTCCTCTGTGGCCACCTGATCATATGGTGTTGACCGGGCAGTCTCTGACTTCATGGGTCCATACACCATTGGCTTCTTCAAGAAAGACAAGGTCTCCTGTTTGTCAACTCGGCTTCTCTGGTTTCTGAAGCTCTCATTGGCGGTCGGTTCATAGAGCCTCTTCTGATGTTCCGGGACTGGTGCTGGAGGCATCTCCTGTGGTGATGCTTCATTGCTTGGTGCTGCTGGTTCCTCCAGAGGTACTTCACCTGCTTCGTTGTTGTTCTGTGGTTCTTGTAGTGCAGCATCTGCTGGGGCGTTAGCTGCTGGGTTTGCCGGTGGTGGCATTGCTGATGCTGACGTTCTTGGTTGATCATCCTCTGGTGGTCCCTCTTCTGGTTCGGGAGGTTCTTCCGGTTCATCTCGCACCAATTGTTCGAAGGTGTCATCTGAAGCCGTCTCTACGTCATCATCTATCTGGAAGGTTGTTGTGCCTGTCCACCGATAGTGAAGGTTCCTTCCAGCATCGATTGTTCTCCAATCGTCTCGTAGTCGAAGATGTTCCGGATGAGGTGGGTTCCGTCTGATGACAGTGAGACGTTGGTTCCGGAAGCGGTCTACTGGGGCATCATCAGTGCTGACTGGCACAAAGAGTTCTTTGCGCTCAACATTGTGTACACGGGTCCAGGTCTTCTGATCATCACTGACCTGCCAATAGTCCGCCAATCCTGGATTCCCCTCCCCTTCTTCTCCTTCTGCCATGTGGTCGTCATCGAACTCTTCATCTTCCTCATCACTGGAGACTTCATGCCTTTGTCTCTTGTTCGTCTTGGTGAGGTCGGTGTAGAGTGTCGTGCCCCTGCTCCGAATGTTCTGCAGGGCTTGCTGGGCCTTGAAGAAGGGATCATCATCAGCTGCCTTTCCAGAATCCTCCACAGGTGCAGGTCGAAGATGTTCTGGTGCTGCTCTCAAGAGATTCGTGCCATGCACGATCCAGTAGATGTTGGAATGAGGTCCGCCATCAAGCTGCTCAACCATCACGATGCGGGCAGGTCCACGCCATCGTAGTTTGGGTCCTATGCCACCTGGTCCATCTCGGTAGTAGTAGCACATGTCCCCCAAATGAAACACGGTCAGCTGGCCAGCGAACTTCCGGTTCATTGCCCGTCGCAGTCTGGTGTCAACATCTGCCGAGAAGACGGCATTGGCTGCTGCTTTCTGCCTCTGTAGCTTCTGCAGGAACTCGTCCGAAGGATCAAGTGATGGTGGTGGCAGAGGTTCTTCTGTCAGCAACCCAGGAATGTGTGGCGTGTAGCCTAAGACCCACTGCACTGGACTGTAGCCTCGGACATTGGTGCTTCTGTTGATCTGAGGAACGACATAGCACAAGGCCTGTATCAGCTTTTCACGGGGTTCTGCTGGCTGCAGTACGTTGCCTTGCTCTTGATCAGCCAGAAATAGTTCCAATGCTCGCCTTGTCACCTGATGTCGTCGTTCCAGGATGGCAAGTCTTGTGTGACTCTGTCCAGGTGAGATCCTCAGCTCAACCCCTTGTTCCGAGCACCAGGACTTGACATAGTCTGAGGCCCAGCTCCTGTGGTCATCAACCTGTAGGGTCTGCATTGGTCCAAAAACACGCACCCAGGCTCTTTCCACAGCTAGGATGAACTCCTCTGGTGATTCCTTCCAGATCACTCGTCCAGCCAGAAAGCGCGTTGCTGTGTCGCTGATCATCAGGATAGGAAGAGCTTTCTTCATGTTTGGAATCTTGATCCAGAGGGTGTCAGCTTGGACCCTGGCATTGAACTCCTGAACACTCGGCACTGAGGAGACGGGTACTTGTGGTCGATGTTGATGCTGACGACACACATCACAATCATGTTCTTGTGCACATTCAACAAGGACGTTGGACGCACCCTTCATCTCCAAGAGTCGCTTGAGCTCTGCATTGGTGGGATGTCCGAGGTTTCTGTGAAGTCGACTCACTGTTCGCTTGGCTAGCTGGCGGTCTTGTCGTTGTAGTCGTTGAAGTACTCCAGTAGCCTTGTAGCTTTGTACTCTGACTTCAGATTCTGCTGGAGGCGCCGGTTCGTGATTGGGCTCATCTGTTTCTCGTTGTTCGGTGCCAGCCACTGAGGGAGTATACTCTCCCATGTCTTCCAAGTCCCATTCGCCACCCTCCAGGGCAAATTCCTCAGGCTCATAGAAGAGGCAGTCGATTGCCGCACCAATGTGGTAGCAGAAGGTTGTCTGATAGGCTCCGGCAGCTTTGGTCAATGAACCAATTCCCGGCAAGGACCCTTCTAGAGGTAGGTGTTCATGATCTCCGGGACATCTCCAAGCCAGGTAGTCTGTCATGGAAGCACTTGTGAGCTGCAACCTTGTGGGCTTCTTCACATACTGGTCGGCAATTTTGGTGTCATAAGCACACTGATCCAATCGACATGGCCAGCCAGGGAGGTTCGACCACGTCTTTGTTGTCCATGCTTTGGATCCCGCTGGGTGCTCGATGGCTGCATCTCTTCCTTCATTGTATTGGATCACGAAAGTGCGTTCTGCCAGTTTCAAGTGAACTGCTTCCTCATAGTCCTGCTCACATCTCAAGGCGAACTCTTGCTCCGGGGTCAAGGCATTAAGAGCTTGCATCTTGGACCACTTTTGCATGCTGGAGCCAACCACACAAAGTCTGGCGCCACATCTTCCAGCAGCTTGTAGTAAGCATTCCGGTGCTCAGGCAGATCAAAGTTCCAGCCGGTATTGGTGTCAAAACTGTACACCAAGTAGCCTCTTCGCTGCATCTCCAAGGATAGGCCGGCTTCACCTGAATAGACTTCCCAGAACACCTTGGCTCCTTCTTCGTGAGCACGTAGTCCTTGCTCTAGCACAGAGCGACGGTGGGCAAACATCGTAGCATGATGAAAGCGAATGCCTCGGAGGAGTTTGTCCGTGATCTCTTTCCGCACTTCAGCCACCTGTTCATCGTTGTGCCCTTGAGGTTGTTGATCCATCACTGGTTCATCGTCATCAGTGAGGTTGTCCTGGAAGGGTTCACCGTCGACCTGAAGGCAATGCTCTGGTGGATCTCGCCCAGTGGCCTCAAGGTACTGAAGGAGCGTGTAGGTGGAGGAATGCATCGTCCCTCACCATTCCACCATCTCGAAGGTCTCGGTTGTCACCAGGTCAAATGCCAAGTTATGTCCTTCGGGATCACCTTGCACTCCATCATCCAGCCTGAGAAGATACTCACCACGGTCGCCCTTGATGGCGGGCTTCCAGTCTTGGTCGCCATAGGAGATGAGGTCTTTATCCCAGTCCACCTTCACCTTCAAAGATTTGAGGATGGGCCGCCCAACAAGCAGAGGCGTAGCGCCGTCCACCAGGAAGCATTCGATCATGCCTGACTGACCATCCACGTAGACCGGGAGCTTCACGGTCCATTCTGCCTTCCTCATCGCATCACCTCCGAAACCAAACATCTTCGTGGTTGGATGGAAGGTGTATCTCTCCAAGGGCACACCACGCTGGTTCATGTACTCGATGATGTTCATGAGAGTCTCATGGCCGCATACCATGCTGCTTGCTCCACCATCCTGCAATCCAAACCAGCCTTGCTCAGAGAGTTGTGGAGTCCCTTTTCGGCTGAGATCATGCATCATGAAGGCTTGTCCTGAAGTCTTTGTGGAGGTCTCGGTCTTGGTGCGCTTGGGTGATTGCGAGGTCTTGTTCATTGGACACTCAGCTGCTGCATGCCCGAAACGTCCGCACTTGAAACACTGCATGGAGTCTAAGGCCGTTCGTCCTCTGTTCAAAGCAGTTCCCTTCTGGGGTGGTGGTTTCCCCTTGCCTTTCCCTTTCTTCCCTTTTGAACCTTTGGTCACTGGCCTCTGGGAAGTGGTAGTCGAGGACGATGTTGATCCTGGCATGTCCGAAGGGTTCGACAGTGCCACCACTGGATAGAAACCTCTTGCAGCACGGAGGTTGGCAAATTGCCGGCGTGCATCAAGGTATGCTGCATAGGCTTCTTCGAGAGCCGGGTCCGGCTCCTCAGGCCAAGGTTCTTCCGTGTAGTAGAGCTCCTCATCCTGGCCACCGAAGGCACCGTCATCCTCATAGTCCTCATAGTTGGCATCCTCTTCATAGAGCTCATCGTCGGCCTGAACGTAGGTCTCCTCGAGATCGTCGTCATACTCGAGGTCATAGTCTTCAGCTGCATAGGCCTGTTGGCTCTTACGTGGATGCCATCTGCCCTTACCCTTGGCATGCTTGTTCCAGGTCTTTGGCTGCTCTGACCTTGACTTGAAGTCTTGTCCCAGCAGGTAGTACATGACCTCTTCAACTTTCGCCCTCTTCATCTCGGGGCCAACCTGCGACTGAATCAGGTGCTTCTGTTCTTGTGTCAAGTTGCTCCGTCGAAGAAGCATCCAGCCACTGACACTGTCTGGGATGCGGATGTTGTGGCGTTCGATTTCTCGAAGCTGCTCTCTGTGGTCTGAGCAGTAAGATAGGAGCGTTTGGTCGCTCCTCCTTGTCAGTTGATAGAAAAACTTCTCGAGAGCTCTGGGCATTTCTACCCGATCATCGTACTGAAAGGCTGCATCCAATGCTTTCAGCACTTGCTCAAAGCCGTCGGAAGCTTCGGCTACTTTGTCGACGGGGTGTTCGACCTGCTTCCATGCTGTGCCATTGAGGCTTGTGAGAAGGTTCAAGATCGTTTCCTTCTCTTTTCCTTGAAGGGCCAGTTTCTTCTTGTAGAGAATGATGCGCTGCCTCCACTCCTTGTAGTCAGCCACTCGGTTATTGAAAACCGGGATGTAGGTGTCCTTCATCGTCTCGATGGATCCGCCTGAAGCTGAGGAGGTAGTAGAGGGACCGGAGGCTGAAGGTCCTGGCATCTTCTCTTCTTCTTGGAGCGCCCTGGTAGCGCTCCGCTACCAATGTTGGTAACGAAGCTTCGATCACCGGTCACGAGGTTCTCGAGGTCCTCGTCCACGAAGGTCGGTCAGCGCGGCCACGCGCTATTTTCAGTGAGCCATTGCTCAAGTCGCGCGCGCACCCGCCACTGAGCTTGAGGCGAGCGCGGCGATCACAGTTCAAATGTCTGATCTACCGGGTTGTGCGGCGCACAAACAACACACTGTTTTACAAAGTGTTAAGCAAAGTCGTCGAACTATACATAAATATACAGTATACAATTTAGCAGGATGGAATCCAAACAGACACATACAAAACATATCATATTGTTTTCTTGCTACGAGGTGGGGCTTCATGGTCACACGCCCCACCAAAAAGGTCAACTTGTGAGTTGTTGGGGCAGGTTCTGACCCCAAAGACACACAAATCGATAGTCAAAATCAAAACTGGATTCGATGCCTTGGTGCGAATGAACACACATCCAGGTGTTTGGGGCTCCAGGTTTTGACCCATCCCCGCATGGGTCCAAACCGAGAGCCCAGAAACAACCCAGCCAATTGGCATGCATCGGTATGTTCTGCCAAGCAACATCAATTTCTGTCCTTGGTCGGAGCCGGTGAGCATCGACCCGCATCGATCTTCGCCCTTCTGAAACTCTTGGTCCAATTCACTAAGAAGTGGATGGCCCCCAGGCCCTTGGAAGAGCATTTTCCTGGCATGTGAGTGAGAAGCCGGTGTACCCCGTTGGTATTTCTCACGTTTCGTGTTCCCCCCTCTGATCCCAGAACCCTGGTCAGGTTGACCGGACGTTCCACCATGTTGGATACAGTTTTAACATGTTTTTAAGTATTCCATAAATGTTTGATGTTTCACGTTATGTAACGGAGTAGACTCCCTTGATGCATTGCAGTCAAAAAATCAATGTGTTGATAAGTCTTGATTGAGTTTGCGAGGTCTTAACTATTCAACTGAAGACATTGAGTCATGACGGTAATGATGATGGATGTCCATAAGTTCTGGCCAAAAATACATATGCATAAATATACATACATACATACATACATACATACATACAAACATAACATAATGGCTCAAGGTTTCGGCTCAAGTGGGTGACTGCGGCTGGCTCTTCGCGAGAACGAGCTGAAGGCCCTGGACGCTGAGAAGGGAAAGGTCACCCAACAGTATGAGGAGAAGCTACGCTGTCTGTTCCGGCTGCAGTGGCAGCTGGATTTGGCAGGACAGGCTCATCAACAAGCCGAACCTGAGATGCCTGCAATGCAATAAGCCATGGCAGCAATCCAGGGTTCCTGACCTGAAAAGGCGGCCAGTCACATGGGCTGCTTGGAACTACCAGACAAAAGGCCACCAATGGCCTAAGAAAACTTACCAAGAAGCTCTTTTAGAACCACCTCCGGGCCTGTACGGAGGCCAACCGGCCAAGCGCGCCAAAATGGTCAAACAGACCGCCCTATGCAAAGCAGTTCAGGAACACTGGGACTCCTTGCCGGACGCCATGAAGACTCAGTGTGAAGCCTTAGGTGTCCCGCCATCGACACCACCTCCACCACCTGATCTTCCGAGCTTGATCAAGGAGCATCTTCAGAGTCTACCACAGGATCTGAAAGCTGCCGTTGAGAAGATTGTTGTTCCAGACAAACCGGAACCGACTTTGGCGACCAAGCTGAAACAGTCGGTTGGGGCATTACGCCAATTGACTGACAAAAAGGCCGCCATCCAGTCGAAGGCTGACGCAGTGAAGGCACAGTACACTGCATTGCTTCAAGAGCTCAAAGAGCTTCAAAGCAAGATTGAGAGTGCTCAAAAAGATCTCCAACAGGCCACCACGCTCTACAACAAGCAGTTGGAAGAAGACAAGCAGGCCACAGCCGACAGCAATGTCGATCCAGACGAATTGACTCCAGAGAATCTGATGGCCATCATGGCCAGTGTCGGTGTACAGGCCACCTCGACACAGATTCAAGACTTTGCACACAAGCTTGTTGAGAATGTGTCAAAAAGAAGGAAGTGCGGGTAACCCTGCAACGCAGTTTTTCATGATCAGAGAAAGCGCTCAGACACTTTGCACACATCATGGGGGAAATGATGTCAGCATGGAGTCTGATGGGGAAGATTTTGGCTCAGGCGATCACAGGGACCAGATGGCCGAGCCTGGGGCAGCATCACTTTGCTCCAATGAGGTGATGCTTGAGGATGGCAGCCGCTATCCGAGTTTTTGTGGAGGCGCTGGAACCCAGGCGGAGAACCTGGACAATGAAGCGCCTATGGAAGTTGACCAACATGGGGAAGATAGGCAGGTGGCCCAGTGCCCACTGGACTACGTGCTCCAAAATTTGCATTGCCGCCTTGGCAATCCTCGAAACAGATGCTATGCTAATGCTCCTTTTCGCCTCTGGGCCTGGTCAGGAAGTTTCTTGGCTGGACCAAAGATGTGGAACCACACCGCCAAGGCAGTACAGGCTGCTCTGGCTGATGAAGAGATAGTTCAGTTGCCGCAGCTTCAACCTTTGAAGCCTTTGTGGCAAAAATTTGACGAGAATGCCCAGGATGATGCAGCCCACTTCCTTCTTGAGTTGAAGGACTTGGCACAACCCCAACAGGTGATCACGCAGTACTACCACATTGACCATCGACAGGAGGTGCATCAGAGAAAAGAATTTCCTATGCACTTGATCTTTGAAGACAAAGGTCACCCACAAGAATTTGAAGAGCTCATCAGCAACTGGACAAACCAAGCAGAAGGCCAAGTGTTAGCCGGCAGAGGGCTTTGGGTGGCCCAAATTGGCAGGTACACTTTCCAACACTTGGAGTGGACCAAACATCATCAGGTGTTGCATGTACCTTCGGTTTTCAATCTGCCGTACACTTTAGATGGCAACAAGATCCAGACAGAACAGTATTCCTTGATTGGCCTGTTGTGTCATTCTGGCACAGCACACAAAAGTGGACATTTCTTTGCAGTTTTTGCCTACCGTGGTCTTTACTGGATTGTTGATGACGGATCCTATCCCAGACCGGTGGCACGCTTGCAAGACAGCCTTTTGACACAAATAGTTCAGATTTGGGCCATTCCCTCCGACATGGTGTTGCCGGAGCACATCCCATCTGACATTCTGGCCAGCCAGACAGAGCTGAGTGAAGTGCAGGCGCACAAACGCCATTGTACTCATGGCGTTGGCTTTTCTTTTGCAAATGTCACGACTCTTGGCCAATCAGTGCGGCAATGGTTGCTTGGCAGAGAAAGAACGCCAATCTTCCTGGCGGAAACTCATTTGAGCCCGGAAGACCATGACAAAACACTGCAATGGTTTGCTACCAGAGGCTACGGCATCATTGGGGAAGCCGCAGCGGTGAGCCCCAAAGGAGGCACAAATGGAGGCCTTTTGCTGGTCTTTCCAGCGAATCTGCATTTCCACTACGTACAAAAGCAGATCATTGACGGTTGTGGGTGGTTTGCAGTACACTGGACATTCGAAAACTTTGATCTCATCTTGGTCATGGTATATTTTAAGTGTGGAGAAGGCCTGCAAGGAGCCACAAATTCTTTGCTGTGGTCCGGGCTCCTCACCTTTGTCACCAGTCTTGCCAAGCCGGTGATAGTGTTTGGAGACTTCAACATCACACCAGAGGAATTCATGGCCACCACGATGGGCACCATCATGCAGGTGCAAGTCTTAGCAACAGGCGAGGAAACCTGTGCCACAGGAAGGGAACTGGATTGGGCTTTGGTGACCACTGCTCTTCTCCCTGAAGTCCGCATTGAAGCCAACTGGATGGTCCCTTTCAAACCGCATGCACAGACCAACCTGCACCTGGCCAAAGATCTACATCAAGTGACGGTCACACAGATACAGCGACATCAGCCTGCGCCCAAATTGGAGAAAATCAGCATGGAATGGACACAGTTTGCTGAGATTGACCTTCCTGTGAAATGGCTTGGTATGCCCACCAACCAGATCACGCAACAGGCTGGACAGCTGTATCACAAGATTGAGCGCTATGTTCTGCAACAGCATACAACTCCCAGTTATGGCCGTGGCACTACTTTGAACTACGTTCAAAAACCGCTGAATGATCCTAGCAAACCATGGTTGTGGAAGAAGGGGTCACTGGCCTACTGGCCCCAGTTGGAAATCAGATTGCAACAGCACATGCATCGGAAGAACTCAGAGGACAGACAGATGCATCATCTAGAACGTCTTGGTTGGCATGTTGATCGCAACTGGCATCCGGAAAGCAACATGACGCTTGAAGGTTTCAAACTCCTTTTCCAGATGCTGTGGAAGAATCATGATGTCGAGCACATTCAAGTCCTCCTACAAGCCGTCAAGCAGCAATGGGAGCTTCATCAAAAACATGTGTTTGACACAGAAACACAAGAGTACAGAAGTTGGATGCAAGCTGCCTCGCTATCAGGCTGCAGGGGTCTCTTCAGAACCCTCAAAAAAGATGAAATGCCTTATGCGAGACCCTTTCAAGATTTACCTCGTACAGAACGGATGCAGCACAGACTCCAACAATGGGGGGAAATCTGGCAGACGAGAGAGCAGCCACTTGAACCCAAAACGATCCAAGCGCTCATCTACAAGGGTCAAGACTATGCACGTGAAACGCTCCAGCCACTGCATGTGCATCAAGTATGGAAAGTGATCAAACGCCTCAGCCACAAAGCGCCTGGCCTTGATGGAGTTGGCTATGACTTCTTCAAAGAGCTCCCTTATCAAGCCATCCCGGACTTGATACAGTTTTTCCATGAGATAGAGGCCACGGCGAGCATTCCAAATCAATGGACCTCTTCCTTGATTGCCATGCTGCCCAAAACCAAGGACATTGAGAGGCCGATTGCATTAGTTGCATCCTTGTACAGATTATGGTGCAAGGTCAGAGCTCCGTACACAAAGCAATGGCAGCAAGAGATCCAAGATGTGTACAAATGGGAACGAGCAGTTCCTGGCACAGAATGCCTCAAAGTCGCGCTGAAACGGGCCTTCATGACCGAGCACCATCATGCCCTCAAGCGCACAGTTGTCTCAGTGCTCATGGATATGTCCAATTTCTATGACAGAATTGACTTGGAGAAGCTCACAGAGCGTTGGCTTGACTCAGACTACCCGGCCACACATGCTGCCCTGGCCATGCAGATTTACTGTGGTAGTCGGATCATTGAAGCTGAAGGAGAAGCATCCAAGATGATTTGGACCAGCAATGGCATCTTGGCAGGGGATCCACAAGCACCTTTGGCTGCCAAAATTTACCTCAAAGAAGCCTTGCATGCTTTCTGCAAGCGATTCCCTCAACTACAAGTTGATCTTTGGATAGATGATCTGAGCTTCGACATTGTTGATCGTGATCCTGCAAATGCTGTCAGATTGGCCATTGCAGCGTTTCAGTATATCAAAGGTCTCTTGGAGGCGGACAATTTGAAAGTGTCAGACAAAAAGACGGGCTTCCTCACCTCGAATGCCACGGCAAAGAAACTTCTCCTTGAACAGCTGCCAAAAAATGGGCCAGGTGTACATGATGTGATGCGAGACCTTGGTGTAGATTGCACAGCAGGTCGCTTGAGACGCATAGCCACGATGAAGTCTCGAAGATTCAAAGCCAACAAAAAGACTCAGAAGATGAAGGCCTTGAAGATCCCACAAAGAGCAATTCGCTTAAGACTGTACAAGGGCAGTATCCTGGCCAGCATCAGCTGGGGACATGAGGCAATGGGCCTGGCTCCACAGGTCCGAAAACGCATCAGAGCCACCATGGGGCGGCAGCTCGGCCATCAGAGAACTGGGAACTTGGACATTGTGTTCGATATGCACAGTGGCCATCAAGATCCAGACTATGCTGCGTTCTATGACCAAGTCAAGATCTTCCGGCATTTTGCGGGACAGTGGCCAGAAGCTCTGAAAAGAGACTTAGAGAAATCCTGGGCTCATCACCAAGAACGACTGGCCCAGGCAGTTCATCCTTGGCAGGTGACACGTGGACCCATGGCAGCGCTGCAATGCTACCTCCAGGAAAAGGGCTGGTCAGCCATCACGCATCAGGAGTGGACCAAAGATGCCAGCAACGGAGCACCAGAATTCCGGATCCTGCTGAGTGACCCATGGCCTACCATCAAGGCTGAGCTCAAACGGGCTGAAAGCAGTGACAGATTGCTCCGCATATCCTCCAGAAGCATGCTCCAGGAAGTTCAGCAACCTTTGGACTGGCTCCCATGGAGAAGAATGAGCAAAACGCTCAGTCAACACAATGCATGTGCTCTACAAACATGGCACCAAGGGGCACTTTTCACAAAGTTCAGTGATGCCGTGGAAGGGCAGCATTTACTTTGTCCTCACTGCTCCCAACCGGCAACTACGGTGCATTTGCTCTGGCTATGCAAAGAAACCAAGGCACATTTCCCTGCACTTCAGGCTGCCGATCAGTTTGAGCTTGAGCATGGCTTGAATTTAGAGTTTTGGGCCCAAGGCTTACTCATGGTGCCGAGACTGCAACAGTCCACCGGAGGAGCCTCCGTTCAGGCCTGGGGAACGTGGACGGCACAAGATGAAGCTAGGATTGAACATCCAGATGTGGTGACAATTGGCATCGCCCACACTTCCACAGATGTTCGCCTCAAACACTATGCAGTCTCCATTGTCCACCACACCCAACTTGGAGGACAGTTGTATCGCCAAGGAGCCGTGATAGCAATTTTGCCAGGAAAACAGAGCTGGGAGCGTGCGTGGTACTATGGACTCCGCATGATAGCTCATTATGTTTCCTTGCAGCAGAGACTGGTGGTTCACGTGCAAAGCACACGTGCATGGGAGTGCTGGCAGCAAAACAAACATGCCGAAGTGTTTCATGATTTGCGTGACCTGATCACCTGGGATCAAAAGCAGCGAATCCGTGTTCTGTGCATCAATGCCAAACAGCTCAAGGAGATGCCAAGCAATGAATGGTCTCTCCGCAACAGGATGGCGGATGCAGCCAAGGCGGCTAAGGAAGTAGCCTTGTCGATGCAACCTCTTGAGCAAGAAAAAGAATTGTTGGAGCAAGATCAACGCTACAAGCGCATTGCACCACTAGCAATTCAGCGCATCAAGCATTTGCTCAGTGACAAGCAACATTTCCTACATGAAGCAAGAGAGACGGGCAAGCAAAAACGGGTGGAGGCCCGAACAAACAAGCAAAATGCACTCACTAGCCTGACACACAACGCAGGCCAGGGATCACACACATGGGTTGCCAAGGGCAAAGGTGTCCAGTGTGCCACTTGCAAGAAGAGGCTCACTATGCACAGTAAACACCAAGACATCCTTGCAGGCAAGACCGAACAGTGTGCTGACACCCCACAGCCACCCCTTGTTGGAGGTGAAACGGCCAGTCAGACCAAGTCTGCATTGTTGCAAGAGATGATCAGAGGCCAAATCCCAAACATGGCACCACATGAGTTTGAGGAAGCCAAGAACTACATTTCTTGTGTGAAATGCCATGCCCAGTTGCTCAAGAACTCCTCGCGAGAGAAGCTGCTCGAGTTGGCCACCATGCCATGTTGGAACCAACTGTGGAGTCCGGAAGGCTGGCAGGGACACCCAAGCCATCGGATGTGGCGCAGAGGTGGAAAGCTGTGGTGCCAAGCCTGCAAGGCACATGCGCTGGTCCACCCTTTCAGGACAAGCAAGGCCTTGAAAGGCCCATGCTCACAGCAGACGGGGCAAAAGCAGCTCCCCATCTGCTTCCGGCAAAAGGCCGATTGAGAACATGCAGTTGGAAAAGAACCGCAGAAAAAAAAAAAAACATAACATAACATAACATAACATAACATTACATTACATTACATTACATACCAACCATACCTCACAAAAGCAGGCCACAGGCGCCCCCCTGCAATTCTCTGTGACTCCGGGCGTTTCTTGGGAAAAAAGGTTTGCCATTTTGCAGCCATGTATTCAGGGGCACAAATCCTCATCAAGAGGTTCAAGAGTCATTTGAAAAGACAGTTAGCATCGGCTGATGGACCAACTAGTAACTAGTTCCCTCTTCTGCGTCTTCCATCATGTTGCGATGTCAGTGTGAAACTCGTTCAGTGCTGACTCTGCTGGATGTCACGACCGGGGTGTCTGGTGACGACCGGCCGTGTTGGTCGAACCTACCCCGGTCGTCTCGTCTTGGTCTCTGCGTCGGAAAAGGTCGCAGCGGCACCCGAGGTGTTGAATCAACCAGCGGGGTCACAGTATATGACTTGGGATTGCTCTTCACTTCGTGAATCACTTACAGTAGTACATGTCATTGGTGTGGCAAGAGTCTGGTTGTTCTTGGTGTCTTTCGCTTTCTTCGCTCCAATCACGGCACTGGCATCTCGAGACAGCTGCCGGCTCACAAGTTGAGCATACACGCCTCCTGGGAGTTGACAGAAGGGTTGATTTGGGGAAAACCTCGGGCAACACAGAACTTCGACCCAAAGAACTTCCGTTTTGACTCAATCTCCACTTAAGGCTGTCATGATCCACCACTTCTTTGGAATCCACCACCACTTCTTTGGAAGTTAACATGAGTCTTTGGGACTTTCAGGCAACCATATGGTATGCATTTGGTGTGTGTACATCAAGACGAACATCTAGCGGAATTTGGGGCAGTCCAGGTCTTTCAGAGGTCTTTTATTGTCACACAAAACATCACAAAACATTTGAGCACACCAAAATTCATCAAAACGCCGTTCTCCCGTCCTTTTGCTACTAACTCATCGTGAGTGCCCCTCTCCACGATGAGACCCTTGTGAATCACACAAATCTGTGTGGCGTTGATCACGGTGCTCAAGCGATGGGCGATCAGAACGACCGTACCTCGAACGAAACGGGGCGAGGAACGAATCGACGCGTAGGTGATCAACTGTAGGTGAGTCACTTCAGTGAAAACCAGAGGCACCAACCCCACCTTAAAGCCACAAGAGAAAACAACTCACAATATATCTAGCGCTTCCAAGGGGTGCCCTGTCTGGAGACCTGTAAGTGGTGTTTGGTGACCCCTTGGAAGCAGCTGGTATAAATTAAAGATTTAGTCAATTAATGAAATGTCAATTATAGTTACATGATGTTGCATGTTTTGGAATGGCTGGGAAGCTCTCTCTCCCCTGCTCCTCCGGGGCGAGTTTTGGGCATGTCCAAAGGCGTCTACATGTCTAAAACAAAGAAGGGACCTCCCTAAATGTAAGTTACGCTTTTGCAATCCAGCAACCCACCCCCACCCCGTCAAAAACAATGCAAACATGCAAGCTACATTCTGCACGTCCCCCCTCGTGTTTGCAGAGATAATGTAGAGATCGATGGTGGTGATACTATTGACTGAGGCGGCTTAGACCCCCAAAACGTATGTGAATTATGCTTAACATACTTAAACTGACATGGCAAGCCACACGATTTGTGATGGTGTTTGTGTTTTCCAGGTGGTTGCTGCACAAGCTGGGGTCTTTATCATATCCTCATGATCCACTGACCAGTCTGGCCCTTCCTAGCCGATCCAATGCCCAGCTGCTATTGAGCTCCAGCAGTAGAGATTCCAGTGCGCCCTGGACAATTGCCTCATTCTCCGCATCCAGCGCAGAGGTGGCTTCGTCCAAGAACAGCATCCTGCAGACGTGTTTTCCCAATTCAGGAGCGGAACAGGAAACACGTTCAAACGTAGGAGTCCCGATGCCCGAGAGGTTGTGATGCGCTTTGAGAGGTTGAAAAGTAACAAGGACGCTACTAGGGCCTCCTGGCATCGCTACTAGGAGCAAGAAC